AAAAGCTAAATATATGTCCTTTTTTTGTCTTACTCTGAAACCTATGCTAATAGTACAACGATAACTCATTCTGAACTATCTTCGGAACAATTATGATAGTTATAGTTTTACAGTTATAACAGTTATAACAGTTACAGTTATAACAGTTATACAGTTACAGTTACAACAGTTATACAGTTATGACAGTTACAGTTTTACAGTTATGACAGTTACAGTTTTACAGTTATGACAGTTATAACAGTTACAGTTATAACAGTTATACAGTTATGACAGTTACAGTTATACAATTATGACAGTTACAGTTTTACAGTTATAACAGTTACAGTTATAACAGTTATACAGTTATGACAGTTACAGTTTTACAGTTATAACAGTTATGACAGTTACAGTTTTACAGTTATGACAGTTACAGTTTTACAGTTATGACAGTTATAACAGTTACAGTTATAACCGTCACAGTTAACCGTCCAAAAACTGTAACTGGTGCATGCCTATCTATATGCACTGCAGTATCATAATAAGGCTCCTTGAACTTCAATTAAAATGCTTTCCTCCTGACCATCTCTTGATTGCATCTACGTATAGCAAAATTGGAATTATTACAGCTCAAGCAATGGATTAACACGAAAAGGCACTAAAAATTCAATTATGGTCCTTGCCTTCAACTCACCCAGACATTGCAATCACATACAACTACTTTGAATTAGCGTATAAAAGTCAAGAAAACTATGCTAAGGCACTGGAATACTGCCAAAAAGCACTAGAAATTCAATTGCGACTCAAATTCTATCCGTCGACGACCACATATAACAACCTTGGGTTGATTTACCAAAGTCAAACCAATTACGATTGTGCATTGCAGTATTATCAAAAAGTGCTTGGTACTCAATGCAAATATTTACTTGGATATCACCACTCGTCACATATTTGGTATTCAAATCAAACTTGCCGAAGTTAGAGAGCAGTTCCAATCAGAGCAGTAATGTGTTGTACACTCAAAATATGAAGTATGTGTTCTTGATAGATGAGTTTTTTGTAGCGATAGTGGATAATGTTTTCAAGATGAAATGTTTTGATTCTTCGCTTTTTTATTCCATATATTTCTTTTGTATTGTAATCGTCTTTTACATAAAAACACAAAAGGAGACTGTATGCAGAAATATCGTAATTAAATCACTTGTGTTGGTATCGTACAGTGGTGTTTAAATCTGAGAACTCTCTACGTCTCATCTTCCACTAAGAATTATAATCAAAATTATTCTGATATACTCCTAAGTTTGATACCTACATATAGAACTTACGTAATTTATCGTCCCGTTTGCGACAAATCCAGACTTCTAAGTATGTGGAGATTTTTAAGGAAGAAATGTTCGGTGAGATTGCTAAATGGCTAGCAATGAAAATAAAACCGAAACCTGACGTGTTATACTCCACTCGATTCGTCTGAGTGTACCCGATTCTACCATAAAGCTTAAAGGTACTAGTTCTGCAAGCGTTAGTAAGGAATTTCAAAACGCACCTTTCACCGGATTGGGCGACTACATTAAAAAAACTTTCATTAAAATGTCTTCTGCAAAATGGCTGTAACCTGGAGTTTTTCATGGCACAAGAATTTCATCAAATATTTTAATGAACTTCCGTTTAATGAAAGTTTTTGTAATGAAACTTCGATATCCCATTTCAGACAGATTTTTGTTTTCGGTATTTTCTGAAGGAAATTTGCATGATAAAGGTTTGAGAACTGCATTCTCAGATTTGACTCATCGAGACCTAGAAATTTTTCTATAATACTTATTATTCCTCTCAAGTATAACTGCGGTTTTCCGGAATCACTTTGGAGATTCCGCAACCTGTTAGTATAAAAAGTATGTTTTTAAGTCTCATTGTTTTGAGTATAAAGTGTCTGAAAACTAAGCCATTGGATAATAAAAGTCAACCCGACGCTCGAGATGTCTTTCTGTAAGAAACTTACTTTTTGAGATTTTTTTTCTAGACGGTACAATAGCTATGCCATTCACTCATATGAATCTTTTAGATTGTCGAACGAAAACGAGTTGATTTCAATGTCTAATGGTAGTTTATCTAACTGCTGAAATTATTTGGAGAGTCGATGATTGATGCTTAAGGGGAAAACAGTATAATCGACAACTTTCTTACCCGAATGGGTACTGTCGTTTTTTTACCACATTTTAGAAATAGGGATCTCCGGAAGGTCATGTAATTGCGTTCTCCTCAGGCATCCGAAAATCCGCGATTCTTCTAGTCTCTTGTACGAGAAGGTAGAATAAAGTCCCCTGTACAAAATGCCGAAAAGCGAGTTCGTTAGACCTCTTCGTTCTTAGGTTATTCAAAAATCAGAGACTTCTCTTTTGAAATGGATAGTATTGCTAGAATGATTTGTTGCTAACAATATAACAAACTATTGAGAGCTAAAAGTGTTTTTGTATCTATAGTATTTACATAATAAGATCAGTTAAATCAAAATTCCAGTGAAATTACTTTTGAACTTTATTATACATATTCTGATTTGTCGTTTCAAGCTGCATCTGAATATCACCTTCCCAACCTTCAAAAACCATTTCTTTATGGAGAGGGGCCCCACTTTGATTACAAAAAGTGTTTTTTCGCGGATTTTAAGCAACTCTAGAAGTCTCGAAAGACCTGGTCTTCAAATAATAGCTTTATTCTTATGAAATTAAATTTTTTCTAAACATACAGATTTGTAGAGCAAACGTTTGGGATCAACATAAGACCTCGCACAACTCTGTATGACCTTACATCAAGAAGTTACAAGTATTTTTTCTGAAACTGAGTATTCCATACAGCGCTTAATACTAGACATGCAACGGTAACGGTGAACAACGGTAAACCGTTACAAAAATGAGCCGATAAAAGACAGTTAGAGAAAGTTCTGTACCGGTAACCGTAGGTATTCTGTGCTTTTGTCACAAGACCACTCAGAAGAACTTACTCAAACTTATGGAAAGCTTTTCTAACCGGGTTCTGTTTTACCGGTAAACCGTTACCTTTGCATGCCTACTTAATACAGCGTTGTCTCTATATAAGAGTTACACCTGAAGTATTTCCCAAGATTTTTTATAGCAGTTTGCCATAGAGAGTTTATTCTTTTTTTGTTTAAAAGAGGAAAAGAAACTACATCGTCTGACCGGCGCCGATTTTTGAATTAGGTCTTAGTTTTTTATTACGGGTACCACTTTAATTGGACTGTCAAAAATCAGGTGTTTTTAGCACAGTGTGCTAATTCGACAAAACTCATTAAACGGCTACAAATCTATAAAACTGAGGTCGCTGCTGTTCAATCGGAAAAGTGGAAACCGATAGAGGAATAACGAATCGTCATAATCAAAACATATATAAAACGTGAAACAAACGGAAGCGAAAGATACAATGTTTCATTTCTTTTTTGGCAGTCGAAACAGAACTATAAACGAAGAAGGAATGAAAAAGGAACAATATTTTGAATTGTAACACATTGAAAAAATCGAAAATGAATACCGTTATTCATTCATCTCGTTTCTAAAATAAATAGCTCTGATGTAAGCTTTATTCTGCCAGAATACAAACGAAAAATTATTCTATTATAGTGTCTATATTTTGTACAACGATTGAAGTTGTACAATCGACTCGATGTTACCAGTAGTAATTGCCCGTAGTATGTTTTTGTGTTCTATTTTGATATACGCGCTAGGTTCTTGCCACTTTTCATTACCAAGTAATAGATCATTTAAGAATACAAAAAATAAGGGAGAGAGGGGAGCTAACAGCTGTTTGTCTTACGACCATCTTGCCCATGCCACTGCTCAAGGAAATGTGATAAAGCTGTTCGTTTAATACGGCAATTGCAGCCAAAAATGAATAGTATTCTGTTTGTGAGAACCAGTCTCACATTATAACAAATTGTATAAAATATAGAAAAAAAATATAAAAATCGCAATAAAGCTGATAATATTTTTTTTTCTCAGTTTCTTCATTGAAAATTTTTGATAAGTGATGTTAAGAATTAGTTCTATGATGATAAAGTAACTTTCTTCTCTTCGTAAGTGAACTAATGATTTCGTATAAAAGTTGCAAGTGTCATCGAAACATGTTTATGGTAATTAATCTGATGTTTTACAATAGCTTTTGCCACAAGACATTTTAATGATATTCGTGCTCTAGCTTTTAATATACGTCTGATGTTTTCAAGTTTTCCACAGTCAAATGGTATTTTTCCATTGTCATTTACCGTATCCGTATGAGCACCATTATCAATTAAACTTTCTATTATATTTTCGGCTTCATCCAAATTATGCATGCTGCAACCAGCTATTATGTGTAATGGCGTATTTCTGCTCGCGTCCATTGCATTTACTTTAGCTCCAAACTCAATTAATAATCGAGCTGTTGACGAACAGGGAAATCTAAAACTAAAACAAGTGATTCTCCTTTACTATCCGTATAAAATCCACTTCATTGCTATAGACATACTTGTACGCTAAGTTGCTGGTAGATGCTGAAGTATCCATGCATAAATGGATCAGAGCTGAATTAGTAGCCCGTGTTTTGAAATTGAAACTGATCAACCGACGAATAATTTTCTCAAGCTGAAGTCGTTCTTCAATGGGCTTTGTGGGTAGAACCTGAAATTATGTGAGTGAACAAACGGCTAATCTTTTTATAAATCATACCTTTGCAGCAACAGCACAAAGGTATAAAGCCGTCTTACAATTGGTCCAGTGTGGATTCATACTTCTGTTAATCAACAATCGTTCTCGATTCAGCTCATCAATGTTCAAATTCAATACTTGTTTGAATAAATGTGTCTTGACTTCAATTTTATTCTCGAACATTTCAGCAAATACGGCGACTAAACGTATTAATGGTTCATCCAACGACTGATCAACTAACTTTTTGAGATTACATACTCGTAGCCACAGTGTTACGCAACTATCATACCTTTTTTCGTCAGCGTACACACCACCACGACGAAGTATAGCAGAATGAAGCGTTTCACTACTTGTACCTAATACTCGTTCGAGCGTTATCAATGTTTCCATATGCAGAGCATCCACATTATGTCGAATATTCCTAAGATCTTCCAGCGTTCGACACTCCTGCTGATATCCGTACTCTTCTATCAGTGGACTAATAATCTTCGAAATATGGAAAGTGCTTCTTAAAAGCATTGCTCTTGATAAATACTCGTAAGTTTTATGTAAATTGTCTGCATTCGAAGCGTTATTACAATAAAAAGACCCTAACAATTCCAGCGCATCGGCACCCTCTTGCTTCGAACATAGCTTTTCGTTAGAGATAAAATGTTCAACAATTAGCGGATTTATTTTAACGGCTGCAGTCATCAGAGGCGTTAGGCCGGCCAAAGTTTTCGATTTAATGTTTTCGTGAGTTGTGAGCAATTTAGTACACTCTAAATAATTTTCTTCACAAGCAACATGAAGAGCGGTTGCGCCATCATGACTTCTAATATTTGGATCTGCACCATTTCTAAGCAGATAGTAGACAATTTCTCGGAGTCCTTTTGACGCCGCTAATACTAAGCATGTGTCTCCATGACTTTTATTTTGAATGTCGATCGCTGCCCCATTCGCAACAAGCAGCTGAACAATCTTTAACTGATTGTTAAATGTAGCTGCTCTTAGTGGAGTAGAGTACGTTAGAGTAAAATGATTAATATTTGCTCCATAATGAAGCAATAGTTTAACAATATTTAAATGACTGGATGCAGCTGCACACCACAAGGCCGTTGTTCCCGGAATAATTTGATTGTCGTATTCGACAACACCTTCGATCTCAACATTAACATCAAATTTGTTCAACAACATTTTGACACTACTATAAAACCCAAATGTAGCAGCAATGATCAGAATATTCCATTTATATCTGCTATGCTCGACAAAATCATTGATAAACAGCCTAGTATGTTCTGGTGATACGAATTTCAATATCGTTTCTAACACTGTCGATAGTTTGTAGATGTGCCTACGATCATATTGCGCGGCATCTGGTGAGGTCATCGAACCGCGTCCATCTTTCGATCCCAGTTTGTACGTGCCTCGGTAACAGGTACCATCGATGTACCTCTCAATACCTTGCCCATGTGCAACACCATCTCCGACCAAGTCTCCTTCAAATACAGTACCGTCGTTGTCTACGAAAGAGCCATTTGTTTTATTTCCTGACCATATACCGGTACACGTCTCGCCTGTGTTCCATGTCAGAATACCTATGTGCCATCGATTGTCTTTCCACTGACCCATCCATTCGTGACACACAGAGTCTCTGTAGGTACATCTACCTTCACCGGTACGTTTACCGTTCCGGTATTCGCCTTCGTATCGACAGAAAATACTGTTATCATTAAAAATTATTATACAAATACTACACGAAAACAGTTTAATGTCAGTGAGAGGTGAAATAATCATTTTTAAAACTGTTTTATTAAAAATTATTTATTTTGAAACTTTTATAAATGATTTATGATTAATTATTCAGACCAGGTGATTACATCATTCTTTTTTTGTTCTATTGGTAAAAACCAGCATATAAGTCAAGCATGAGAGTAAACTTTGTGTTATTTCTGCAGTTGCTGCTTATTGTTTTTCTTTTCTTTCTTTCTTGTATATTTATTGACACAAAAAGAAAGAATAATAGGATAAGATGTTACATGAATCTTGTCAAAGGGGGTACATCAAAGAGGATACCTACTCTTTATGTAACACACGAAGAATATTATATCGTAATATATCAAAGAAGATACCTACTCTTTATGTAACACACGAGCTTTCCAAAAGGATTGCAAAAACTGATTTCCAAGGAGATCTTTGAAAAACCGGGCCATAACCCTGGAAATCGCATCAAACACAACTTTATCTTTCCGCATGGGTAGATGGTCCAAAGTGTTTTCTACGGAACGGATGCCAAGCGAGTACTTGGTTTTCAGCGGTTCAGATGTGGTATCAGATTTCTTTCAAACCTCAGAACAGGTATTCGGTGACCTGCGGTGGCATTGAAATCGCATGAAACATACGTAGTCAGCAATACTGAATCTGTTGGCGATGCTCATTTTTGAAAAATAATTCCAAAACGCAAGTGTATGCTGCGAAGGCTCGGTTTTTCACAGACTTCCTGGAAAATTGTTTTTTAGAATCTTTTTGGAAAGCTTGTGTGTTACATAAAGAGGCGCCGATGTCCTGGCTATCGAATGACAAAGACCGCAACTCTCTAGGTATTGTTAGTCAAAAGTTTTATTTAAAAAATGGCATGCGTGGGCCCAGTAATAAACCGCTTAGGGATCCAATATTTCTAGAAATGGACTAAAATAACTACTAATTAGTAGGCTTTTGGAAAAACAAAATATGTCATCTGGCAGAGATGAATACAATGAACAACTTTTGTTGGTTTTGAGTTGCTGAAAAGTGCTCTTTCGTATCCAGCTCACTCGATAACTCAGAATATTTTCTATTTTTGGGTAGCGGTGGTACTTCCAAAAGTTTAGGAAAAATTTTCAAACTAATATTATTTTTCCATTCTATTCTTCCACCAAAAATCTTCTGGGTATCAAGTGTGTTGCATACGAAAAGCACTTTTCAGCAACTCAAAACCAACTTTATGTTTTTGTTCAGGTGACATTCGTCATAATCAAAACATATATAAAACGTGAACAAATGGAAGCAAAAGATGAAATGCTTCATTTCTTTTTTGGCGATCGAAACAACCATAAACGAAGAAGGAAAGGAAAACGGAACAATATTTTGAATCGTAACACATTAAAAAAATCGAAAATGAATACCGTTCATTCATCTCATCTCTAAGTAAATTATTCGAATCAGAAGAAATACAATAGAGTTGTCCATGAAAAAAAGTTTATAAAAACGAAGGGTTAAGAACGCGTTTGCGAAAAAATGGAACGCGTTTTATCGACTAAGAACGCGTAATGCATAAAAGAGAACACCGCCGGGCGCATTCCACAATAAGCAGAACGCGTTCGAACCAAGGGGGAAAAAGCGTTTCTGGAATGGTAGAATGTGCTGGAATGGGCCGGAATGGGCCAGAATGGATCACGTTGGCGCTGAGTGAGAACTTTTATTTTTTGTAGGTATTCTTAAGATCTTTGTTCCCTGCTTCCTTCAGAAAGCGATTTTTGACACTGTTTTCGATTTTCCATTTCTGACGGATTTATGTACTATCGACTGCGTACTTTCAGAAAATAGTGCTTTCAATACTGTTTATAACTTTATTGTGATTGAAAGTTTCCTCACAAGTAGCACCCGCTCTCCCCCTTCTTCAGAGGACGATTTTTTCAGCTTTCGCGGAAAGGGTCTTAAGGAAAGGGTCTTGTTAAAATGCCTGTATGTATGTATGTCCGCAGCCGCAAAGTGCGACACACAAGTTATTAGCGGACAGACAGACACACAAATCATTTCAACTTGTTTGGATGAAAATGATATGGAATCGGTATTCGACTGTGGAGAATCAGAAAATGACTATGAGCGAGCTGTGGGATCGATTCTATTGGTCGAAAACTTCATCCCACCTTGATTGGATGAAAATGATATTCTCTGTAAAGGAAAGGGTCTTCTCGAGTTAAAATGCCTGTATGTATGTATGTATGTCCGCAGCCTAGATGGACAGACAGACACGGAAATTAGTAGCGGACAGATAGACACATTTATCTGCGAAAAGGAAACTAAGCAAAACCGAAGCAGAATGTTAGAACTCGATGGGAAACTACTGTAAGCAGCTAAAAGCTTGATAAAACAAGAACCATTACGCAACAATTTACACAATGCTTGTCTCGCTGCGCGCCTTCGGCGCTTCCTTCGACGCATAGTCGTTTTAACGAAGAACGTCTTTAAAGAAGTAGAATTCTTAGACGTAACTATCAAGAATAACAACGGGCTGTTAGTGACCAGTGTTTTCCAGAAACCTTCACATGAGCCTTATTACCTGCCTTTTTCCAGTATTCATGCATTTCATATAAAGCGTAATATACCGTTTGGAGCTCTTATCCGAGCCATTCGGTACAGTTCTACTTATATGCTATATATGAAAGAGCGTGCATATATACAAATGGCACTATTTTTAAACGGATATCGCGATGAATTTATCCAAAAACAATTCAATCGAGTATTTGAAAAATTTGATATACCCAGCTTGACTGAGGTCTATTACGACCACAGTCGAAGTAAAGTATTAAAAACATTTTTCGAAAGTAAAAACAATCGATTAAACATTGCTCAGATTGACTATGAAAAGACCATGCTCTTCCACTTCACTTATACTGAAGGTATGGATAAGTTTGCGTCTCACTTTCATCACCTATGGCGGATGTGCTTTACAGATACACCGCTTGGAGACATCACTCCTATAATAGGGTAGCTACCGAAATACTCCAAATTTACAAAAGAGTCTTGTACAAAAGAAACCTTGTAAACAGTTATTAAAATAACCGATAATTATTGCATATATCGCGTGCGACTGAAGCGCACCGAATAAGCGATATATGATTCTATCATCACAGGAGACCCCGTTTCCTCACGATAACCTTAAAGGCTTTATGAGCAAAACAACGCGAGCCGGGGAGCTCCGAGTGAGTGGTAAATCCAGAGGACAGATAAAACTGTCCTCTTTTACTTTATGATGAATAGAACAGTTTTTTGTATGATGTGCATTATACATTGGATACATCACCGGTGAAATTAGGTTTATTTGTTATAAACTATTGTATAAATAGAAGGTGTTTTATTAACAGGATAAATCTCACCGATAAGATCGAATTTTCCTATTGATAATAAGAGCACGACATATTTCATATCTGCGTACATTCCGCTTTGCTACATCGTTCAGTACATT